AACATCCCAGTCAAGTGCTTACGCGTGCGGTTCATAAAGCGATTGTGACAGGCTGTCCCACTCCATCCTGACCTTTCCAAGATGGCTGACCTCCCCAATATGTCTGCCGTGTGTTTGCCATGTCGTGAGGGCCATTAGGACCTCTTTAACACCTCCACGGGCCCCGACCTCAGCCTGGGGCCAGGGTTCAAGCCCAGTGCGCATTAGCATTCAATGTTAATGGAGCAGCTGCTTTGGGGGAATATTTTAGCCTTTTAATGGCGACTTTAAAGTTTAGAGTTATTATTTCAATTGTGTACTTCTGGCACAAACTAGCTTTCTGTGATGAGTCCTCAGATGTCACAGATTTGTTTCTGAAAAATAACTATGCCTGATTGACCTCAAACATTTGTTGTGGCATTTCATGTTTGAACATGTAATATAATATCTTAAATAGAAAACAAAAGCACAAACAGTGTGTGCTGACATGGAAGACGTCATTTCACTGGGGACATTTCAACATTTGCTTGAGAAGGCAGAAAACGGCTTTGAACATGATAACATTGCATCTTTGAGCCCGGAGACCGAATCATGTTATTGAGATTTTCAATGGTTTAAGTGTTGTGAAGCGATTTAGTGTGTGAAGTGATTTAGGCAGTCATCAATATGAAAATGATCATGGAGTAAACTCTTTTTGGCAATGTTCATGTTTAAGTTGTTTTCAATGTGACAAAAATGATTATTATTATTTTTAACAACACAAACCACTTTTTTGTTGTTTTTGAACCACAGAATTGGATAACGTACCCCAGAGTTACTTAAAATGTTACAACCACCATATATACATTAACATACACATACAAACACATTCTAGTATCCAATAGACATGTACAAACATCTATCAGGCTGGAATTGGTTACATACATTATAGTTATACAGCTTATCCATCCAGTATTTCACTTTCTCAAATACACACAAATGCATCATATTAGCTCTTAGGAATCGATTTTATTCTGGTTTGGACCTGAAAAAGTGTGATTATCTGCATCCTTTGCTTTTCATTCATTGTGAGTGTGAACAAGTGGCTTCTGTCATGTGGACGTCCGGGCCGAGAGCCTCCCAGTGGGACTGTGCTGGCCCTGACCCCTGTCCCTCTCCTGGGCCTGAGCTGAGCCTTTGCCCCCCTCCTCAGAGCTGCTGTCATTCACACCACAATCCTTTCAGACGACACAGACCTTTGCGTCATTTGACTTTAGTCCACATCATCTGGACTTATGGAGCCCTCTTCAGCAGACCAGAGACTCTCTTTTTGGAGCTCATTAGTGTCACAGCACAGTACCGGAAAGCAGCGTTCATTGAATACAGCCAGTACAAGGCACCAGGGCAAGTAAGGTGGTGTTTACACGGAGACGCTGCGACAGTAAAATGTTAGAGTTGGGTATCGGTTTGGCCTCCTGTTTACATGGAGTATGTGTATCAGGGGTGAAAACGTACATTTGGACAAGAACAAACGTAAACAACAATGGCGGCGGGTCAACTAAATAGTTATGTGTGCTTTGAGCGCTACACGGCGGATACTTCTACTCCTTCGTTCGTCCAAACCAAACCGCTCTAGTTTCAGTTTCCATTTTCGCAGGCCTGAGGAGGATGTTGCTGAGGAAGTGGTTTACTGCTGGGGGTTGCGTGTGTTGTGTTATAAAATTCAACTGCCCCCTACAGCCCGGGCGCTAGAACTGCATTGTTTTCCGTCGTGGTGTAGACGCTGTGCACTTGAATGAGAAGCCTGCTCGTTTTTGCGAATTGCTTTGCGTCTCCGTCTAAACAGGCCTAAGATCGGGGCAGCTTCCTTAAAGAGCGACTAAACACCAAATCCACTTTTTTTAACTCATAAACTGCATAAGTATGTTTATTGTAGTGCTGTCTACATATCCTGGTCATTCTTTTGACATTTTAGTTCAAATTAGATAAAATATCACTTTTGAGCCAAAAAACGCTGTGTGGTGCCCTCTTAACCTTTCTGGTGGTACTACATTTGAATTTGGTTCTGGCCTCTCCATTGACTCTGAAGTTCTCTATGACATCAGTTGTTTTGTGTGACGTCAGTCTGTCAGAGCCAGTGATGTGAACCCATTCAACTCTCACACACGCCCCAGCTGCAGTTTGGAGTATTCTGGCGCCATCTAGTGGATTAAAATTAAATTACATGAGTCATTCTGAGATTATTGTGTGTGATTAGGTTCAGGTGTGTAGCTTTACAATTATCTTAGTGTGTAAACAAGGGTGGAATGAGACTTTCTGGTCTGTAAACTATTGCTTTAAGCAGCAATGACAACTATCTGGTTTTTTTTGTGTGTGACAAGTGAGCTGTCAATCACAGCCCAGACCACGCCCAACTTTAAGCCCCCCTTCTTGTCCCTTGGTCCTCCAGGCAACGCCCTTTTTAGAGAACATTTTCAAATCTTCATGTGGGCGGAGTAAGGCTGGGCACAGGTGTTTAGTCGCTCTTTAAGTAACCATCAATTTAAGCTGTACAGATTTTACTTTTCTATTTTAATTTGGTATGACTTGGACTTTTTTGCTGTTTGTGTGTTTTTAAAGTTTTTTTTTTTTAAACATATGACGGTTGAATACATTTTCAGCTGCATCATGAGTATTTAATCTTTTCAACTATAGAAAGACAAATAATGAGGTTCCAGCACAATTTATTAGCATACTGTTATTTTTTTGTTTGTCTTTACACCTCATGCACTATGGACCCCCTCTATTTTATCACTCACTGCTTCATCTATCCAGAGTTCATAATTGGATTATATACGTCAATTAATCTGCCTATTTGTTGTGCGGCTGACCTATTCCATTAAAATAATAATAAATTCATGAATCATTTGGCTTTCACTTTGTAGTTGTTACTTGTGTGTAAAATTTCAGTTCATAAATCAATTCTTTGAGGTTGTAAACATGAGTAAAGGTTATCATCCTTCTAGTTTTTATTGACCTTTGTGGAATAACATTTGACTGTAATTGGCATTAATAACATCTTTAAAAAGGGTTTGATTTTACTCAACCAAACAAGCGCTTTGCTGCCTTCAGATATCGATTATAATGATTTGGTCTTAGCCTTGTATTAAAATCGAGCACCTGCGGTCAGAGAGAAGGATGTGTGATGAAGTTGCGCTAGGACTGCACTATTTACCTTTTTATATGGTTTAAAACATTGAATACCCATAATGCTTGTCACATGTTTGAGCTGTTCACATGCACTAGAGCTGTGACGTCTCCACCAGTAACAACATGGGCCCAGTACGTTCTGTGTGATTGATTCCAGCCTCTTCAGTCTTTTGTGCCTTTGGGATACTTGCTGCTCTTTCCTTCTTTCCTTTGTCCCACATCTTTCTCGCTCAGTGCTTCTTGTTTTGGGTCAATTTGGTCAATACCAGCATATTGGTGAGACTCTACAATAAACAGATTATCTCCTGGTTTAAGGGGAATTATCTGCAGATGAAGGGAATTATTTGCAGATTATCCAGTCGATCGGTGAGATTCAAAAGTCCACACTTTGAATGTTTTATCAAAATAACAGCCAGTCCAGTATTTAATGGAGATTTATTATGTAAAATCAAGGTCAAATATATTCCTCTTCTGATTAAGATTATGGACATATTTGCCCTGTAAGTTGTCTACCAGCACTTACTTCTCTTGTATCACACAATATCAAAAATGCAATGTAAACATGTGATGTATATAAAAACTGCTGAGCCTGTAAATTTCATTCATCTGTAAACAAGTAAATTCTTAAATCATGTGCAAGGTGCAATACTGCAACTTCAGAATATCCACTGAACAATGTCACTTTACTTTATCTACTTATTATCCTGCGCTATATGTACAGTACATTACTCTGCACTAGTACATGTATATATTTTTTAACTGGTATTGAAGCATTTTCAGCATCTACAGCTAGTTGTGTTAGTTAAGAAACATAGCTACTACTTATTTGTATATAGTGTATATATTGTGTGCTCTTACTACTGTCCTATATGTGCGATGCAACATCGAAATTTACCCACTGTGGGACGAATAAAGGAACTCTTATCTTATATAACAGTAGAGATCAAGTCTTCAGGTTAAGACTGAAATCTGGGGAAGGAACGAGTATTCAATTTTTGTAATTTGTATAAGGCACAATATTTCTTCTTTAAATCAAACACATTACATGCCACATTTACAAACCTTTGCCTCAAATGTAAAAAGTTAATTTTGTCTTTTTATGTTTAAGGCTTAGAAGGTTCTTTTAATAAGACAAAAAAGTAAAGAAAGCTAGTACTGCTTAATTACCTGACATATTTCAGCGGTAGACTTACCACATCCCCCGTTGCATTGTGGTCTCTGGGGAAGTGAATCCCTAATGTGAGCCAAGGTGAAAGTCCCCTAGTCTCTGTTGATGGCGATTTCAATCACCTCTCGTATCTTTTGTATTAATGTGTGATTTTCCTACTATTTTGGCATTGTCCCAGTCCATTATGTGATTTTCTCTTTTGCAGTGGTCCGATATTGCTGATTTGAGGTTTTCCTGCGTTGCTTTGTCCTTGGTTGATCTTGTTAGTCGCACTGTTGTTTCTTTTTCACATTCCTTTTGATGTTCCTTCCTACTGGTGCTGAAAGCTCTTCCTGTTTCTCCGATGTATGTTTTATTGCAGGTTCTACATGGTCTTTCATATATGACATTGCACTTTTCTCTCTGGTTGTATATTGTATTTTGGGAGTACAAGGATTTGTCCGAGCTTTTTATGCGGTTTGATCATTGTGTTGATGTTGTGTTTCCGAGTGCTCTGGACACAGTGCCGATCCAGAAAGCAAAAACTTGTTAGATAATTAAGCAGTACTAGCTTTCTTTACTTTTTTTGTCTGATTAAAAGAACCTTCTAAACCTTAAACCTTTGTCTCATATACATTTTCGGCTCAAACGTCCGATGCATGGTATTTGTTGTTGAAAGCGTATTTTTCTCTTTCATTTGTTGTAGACAAAGAGAGCCTGATCACAGAGAGTGGGAAGCTGCACACTCTGGACGTCCTGCTGTGTCGGCTGAAGGCCCAGGGACACCGGGTCCTGATCTACTCCCAGATGACCCGCATGATCGATCTGCTGGAGGTACCACACTCTTGCTAGAATGAGGGTCACAATGGCAGGCTTCCTGAGGCCAGTTTTGTGTTTCTGTGTCACAGTGGGAATGAGGCTGTAATGGCATGAGATTCTCTGGCCTCTTCTGAAGGAACTACTGACCTTTACATGTCTAATACAACTAACATCACATTAAAAACTCTGCATTGTGCTTCCCGTGTGTTATAAAGCTGATGGCAGGAGGATATGAGGCTCCTAATTACTCGTTCACAGCTAATTAGACTATAGCTCAACTGTGGACAGAAAAGAAGGGCAGATGGAGGTGTGAGTTGGAATTACAAATGAAGGATTAAATAGAAGACCATTGCCCGATTTGTAGCTTTTTTTAATGGCCATAAACACGATGAGTACATTTTAAACAATTTACAACGGTCCAGGCTTATTCCTCACCTTTCCAGCAGGAGTATGAGCATGACCGTAAAAGTTCTATACTATAAACTGTAAAAGAAAATATCTATTACCATTATGGAGGTATGTTGATTACTCTTTTCTGATATGAGGAAGCTTTTCTTTCTGAATAAAATGTATTCAGTTATAATTGGGTAGTTCTTTCACATAACTGTGGTCCGCAATGATCCCTTTTTCAAACTTGTGAGGGCACAGTGGAAGCGATATTAGTAGCACCTGTGAAACGAAAACGCATTGACATGGAGAGTCCTCATGCTCTCATCTACATTTATATGTCAATTTAAAAGTCTTTGACAACAAATCAAAAACATGGTGGAATCTAATTTGTTATCGGTTTACATGTTTTTCACACTCTAAAACATGGAATCGAAATCAATAGTCTCATTATCACATACGGTCCAAAACCATCCATCATATTTCTTCTTTAAAACTAAGGTTTAAAAAAAAACAATTGGGCGTTTATACAGTCAAATAACTACTCTTAAGAATATGTTATGTTCATTAGTCAACAGCAAACACAATTGTGAACTATTTCAATTCCAAACATTGAAAAACACTCTTTTCACCTAACCCTATAACCAAAATCAAGTCGCATCAGCTACTCTGCTGAAACCATCATCAAATCACCTTCTTAACTGAGTATTTAAACAACATTTAACACCCATATACACGCATCTACAATGACACACTTGCAAAAACATTTAAAGCTCCTCTTCTTCAAAATCTTGTGTTGGATTCATTTCTCCTGTAAATTCCCACTCCTGTCACAAGATGTTGTTTCCTCCACTCATTTTTCTCCTTTTCCACATATTGTCGCCTTGAGAAGATATTTCTCTCAAGAACATGTTCAAGGCACTAAATTAGAAAAAATAATGCATCATATTTGTACTTTGAGGTGTTTTTTCCAGTGCGCTTTATATGTCAACCTCAAAATGAACGTGCTTTTAATTTAAAATATTTTCCTGTCAATGCCTTCTATTCACCGCCTGCCGAAGCATGGTTCTGATTGTGATTCCATAAACAGCAGTATTTTCATTTCAGTGTTGGCAAACTCAGGGTGTTACATTTAATGAGACTTTTATGAATTCCTTTTGTGCGTCTGGGAAGAAATTAGGATCAAACAAGTTTCATTTTACAACAAAGCACTGCAAGACCCTCTGTGTAATGTCCAGGAAGTGAAAACAAACACCACGATAATCTATCACCAAAGTGAGCCTTCTGCAGCGGCCTGAGGCACGGGCAGTAGTGTTGGGAATATAAGGAGGACTAGATCGAGACCAGACCAGACCAGAGTGAAGCCAGCTTTTGCCAAAACTGGATCCAATTTTATTGTGGAATTCCGGGATGATTGGCTTGTTTATGATTATGAGATTATTTTGTTGGCTGTTTAAGTTGGCCGTCCAACATTAGACATTAGGCACATAATGTGCTTCTGTCTGCTATAATCTGTGACACCTGGGGCGCATTATTATATTCAGTACATTTTAAAATGTCACTATTGATTTTTTTTTTTTTTTTAGAAAAATCAGTTTGAATACTTGCAATGCACTATTGACGGATTGGAGTAAGTGCTGATGGCACTGTAGTGTGAAGCTGATTGGAGCCAACCACAACAGGCTCTAATGGCTGGAATCTGGAGTAAAGTTTGTGGCTGCACCGATCTAACAACCAAAGAGCCAATCAGGAGCAGCACTGGGCTGTGCTGAAATATGTCCTCCGCATTTGTGTGTTACATGCTATGTCCCCTTTAAATGTTAAACTTGATGAACTAATGTAAAACTTACAGCTCTAAAGGATGACTGGAGTTATTTTTGACTGTAATCAAAACTGTAGCCAAACTTTGCGAGGAAACAGGAAATCAGGTGGGGCAGATGTGGGTTCCTCTTGTCTGGAGTAATCAACCCACTCTGGTCGTATTTCACACCGTAATAAGTCTCTGGCACAGAAAGACAAACATACAGAGAATGAAACCTGATTTATAACACAGAACAGGCCTGCGCTCAGTCACCGGGACACGCTATCAGCTGCGGGACCACCGCCTAGACCAGGGGCTTGGCTCACTTTGTTTTGTCTCTATCGGGCACTGTGTTTGAGCAATATTATTACACCACCAGACCACTAGAGGGCGCAAACTGATAAATTTTGGTCCATCTGAGGCAAAGAGTTAAACCACTGGTCGAGTTCTTCAGTCACGGTTACGCTGAAGTCTCTGTCCTTACACATGGGTCTTTGTAGTTACGCAGGTACTGTCTGAGTAGAAAGCACTCTCGCTTCTCAGCAAGAAGGTCCTGGGTTCAAATCCCGGTTGGAACAGGGCCTGAGTGGAGTTTTTCTGTTCTCCCCGTGTCTGTGTAGGTTACCTCCGGGTGCTCTGGTTTCCTACCTCTAAAAACATGTACCTCCTGTACTGGCGACCTTGCTCATCTCTGTGTGGAGTGAGAGACAAATGCCCACAATTGTAAAGCACTTTGTGACTCTGGTCTGTGAAAGGCACCATATAAAGTCCAGTCCGTATCTGGTCTGGGACTCACACCAGTTTCTGTGGTTCAGCAGACTCTGACGACTGCAGTCTCACTCACAAGAACACTTCTTGCAATTAATCAATAAATTACAATAAAAAGGCAAAGACTTGCGCGAGCTACGGCTGACCTGAAGCACCTTCCCACGGTAAGAGCTCTGTGGCACTGCTGAGACTCTCTCATGACTTTGCATTGTACAGAAAGTCCCGCACTGCAACAATGTTCAATTGGAGCTTGTGAGATGAATGATCATTAAAAGCATTCTCACCCTGGCCCCTGCTCCGTGTGTGAAGAGGATCTGCTCTTTCTTCATATCTGAAACCGTAATCATTCTTGACATGACACAGCTCTGAGAGGGAGAAAGAGTTGCGCACAAAACGGAGTGCATGGACCGAGGAGGAGGCGGCTGCTGTTTCGCAATATTCAAGTCAACTTACATCAACAATAACAGATGACTAGTTTGTACATCTGTAACATGTTTGACTCTGAGTAGAACTATTGGTATTTATAACAAGTGCTTCTTGTTCCCCTGCTGTTCATAAGCTGTGGATTGAGACATTTACATTGTGGGTCAAATAAAGCATATTTTGCTCCTCCCAGCCGAACACAGTGGATTAACAAACTCTCATCGTACTGCACCCCTGAGAAAATTCACCACTTGATTAAGGGGAAGCTCAACGTCTTTGAACTAATATGTACACCATTTTTGACCTTAATGGTAACATTAGACCTTGGCTCTTGATCTCTAATAGTATGTTTAATCATTCTTTTACTGGAATACTGGTGTATTTTTTATTTACTTCAGTTTTATTATGTTGTAATTACACAATGACATATTGCCCTGTATAGTAGTAGAGAGAGGGGTGGGGTGGGACAGGGTTTCTTTTATTTTGTTCCAATGTTCTTTTAAAAAAAAAAAAGGAATGTTCTTTATATGCCTGTGGATCTGTAATGTAAACACATTTTGCATTCCTAATAAACAAACTTGTAAAAACATATATTTTAAAGCGTATTTTCTCTTCATCAGCAAATACTGAGCCAAGGATCAATAATTAAACTGTCACAGTGGTTCTTTATTAGTAGTGGTAAGGGAAACTGGAGCACCTATCAACCACCAAACTCCACTCAGATCCTGTCTGGAGGTGGATTTGAACCCAGTAACAAGCCAGAGTGCTAACCACTCAGCCACCGCTCCACTGTTCAGAAACTGCAGAGAAAAACAAAAGACATTTGATTTGGTGTTTATTCTAAATGAGTATTCTCCAATGTCCTCAGGAGTACATGGTGTATCGGAAACACACGTACATGCGGCTGGATGGATCCTCAAAGATCTCCGAGCGCAGGGACATGGTGGCCGACTTCCAAAGCAGGTAAAAAAGCCTTTTTATGGGTTATCTTGTTCAACTAAAGACAAGACTGACATCATTTTAAACTGGTTGGTAGCTCTCATCGTCTATTTAAGGCAAGGAAAGGCAAGGCAAGTTTATTTGTATAGCACAATTCATACACAAGGCAACTCAAAGTGCTAAACAAAACAAGAAAGCATTAAAATTAGGGCTGTCAAACAATTAAATTTTTTTAGTTGATTAATCGCATAGTAATGGTGAGTTAACTCACGATTAATCGCATGTTTAACATTCTATTTCAAATCCACTCCAATTGAAGTTAAATGAGATTATCAAATATAATTACCAGTGTTGGGTAAGTTACTTTGAAAAAGTAATTAGTTATAGTTACTAGTTACTTCTTCCAAAAAGTAATTGACTTACTAACTGAGTTACTCAGTGAGTTACTAACTGAGTAACTATTGCGTTACTTTTTCGTTTGTCGTGGTACCGAGCTTTAGCTGGCTGTAATTTAGGATAACTTCTAAGTAGATTAATTGTTGCAACAACCCCACCCTATTTTAGTATGATATGTTAGTTTAGGGAACTGTCCTGCAGGCAAACAGGTATAAGACAGGCCAAGGTGCCATTTAATTAAATTGCATTTATTTTTATCCATTGATCAAACAAACAGATTACAAAACTTGCAATTGAAAGAGACTATTTTAAAATAATTAGTTCCCAAAGACACACACGAGCAACACTCACGCCTGACAGTCAAGAACCAGGGAGAAAACAGTGCGCAGAGTGCGCCTGACAGACAAGAACCAGGGAAAATACAGTGCGCAGAGCGCTGAGTATGTGAACGGAGCAATCGCTTGCTGCTGTTATTATAATAGCTAGATCCATGCTTGCAGCCCGTGCAAAGCTTGCACTCACTCACAGCCGCTAACAACAACCAGAGCGGCCACGGAGGAGGCCATCTCACACGCAGCATTCTGAGTGATATTCTTATGGATAAATGGGTGGGTCATTCGGACATGCGTTAATGCGTTAAAAAAAAAATAACGCGTTAATAAAAAATGTAATTAACGTGAGTTAACGCGATAATTTTGACAGCCCTAATTAAAATCATAAATAATCACAGAACATTAAAAAGGATGATAAAAATATAAAATCCCTCAGTTGTATGCACAGCTAAACAGAACCGTTTTTAACCTGGTTTTAAACATTGTCAGAGAGGAGGCCTGTCTCACATTTTCAGGAAGATTGTTCCAGATTTTAGCAGCATGAATCTGAAAAGCAGCCTCCCCATGTTTAGTTCTGACTCTGGACACTAACAGGAGTCCAGTCCCTGTGCTCCTCAGAGTCCAGGCTGGTTCATATGGGACTAACATGTCACTAATATATTTTGGTGCGAGGCCATGGAGAGACTTGTACACAAGCAGAGCTGTTTTAAAGTCTATTTTCTGAGCCACAGGAAGCCAGTGCAGAGACCTGAGAACTGGACTAATGTGGTCATACTTCTTGAATGTACTGCAGCTGTTTTACAGCCTGTTTGGACAGACCTGTGAGCAGGCCATTGCAGTAGACTAACCTACTGGAGACAAATGCATGGATAAGAATCTCCAGGTCTGCTTTAGACACTATGTTTTTGATCCTGGCGATGTTTTTTAGATGGTAAAAAGCTGCTGATGTTACTGATTTGATGTGGCTATTAAAATTTAAGTCTGAGTCCAGTATTACCCCTAGATTTCTGACCTTGTTTGAAGGTTTTAGGGAGAGAGACTGTAGGTGACAGATGACGCTCTCTCTTTGTTTCTGGGGGCCAAAGACAATCGTTTCAGTTTAATAATTGTGTTCACACTGAACATGCCTCGGAAAAAGCAACAGGGGGTAAATGCCCAGTCGTTTTGACACACCAGGCGCTGTCACTGTGTGGAAGGAAGAGGCTTCTTGGGATTTTGGGCTCAATGAGAATGAAGTTTTTAGTAGAGATTATTATGCCATTATTCAGCATATAATATAATTGCATATACATACAGTATATATATATATATATTATATGTATGTATATGCAATTGTAGACACAGCTGCCAGTGTATGTATGACAAGAATTGCACCAACGCTGCACCATTTACAAAACATTGTGTTTTTTCCACAGAACGGACATTTTTGTTTTCTTGCTGAGCACCAGAGCTGGAGGACTGGGCATAAACCTGACCGCTGCAGACACCGTAAGGAACCAATAAACTTCTCCTGGGTTTCTTAAGTGTATCACCCTCATGGAGCTACGGAAACATATACTAGGACAACTTTGTAAAAGAAAGAGCAGCACGTGAAACCTAAACTTATTTTGTACATTGCAATTGGAATGGTTGTATGAGTAACTTGAATGAATTCGTTTTTTTGGAGAATAATTGTTTCTGATGATCTGTTTATGAGAGTCGCATGAAATATATATTTTTAAACATAGCTCTGTAAACCGTTAAACCATCCTTTTGAATAACTATGCAGCAAATGGAGGATGTCTACTTTTTGCCGTATTAGTGACCAAGCAGCAAACCCATGTGTTATAATCCCATGTTTTCTGGAGATAAACAGGTTCAAAAGTGGACTAATGCGTTGACATGAGGGTGATCATAGCATCAGTGTGTTTGTGTGTAAAGACTTTCATGAATGGACCCTTTGTGGATGGTGCACATCCCTTCTGTAATCCAGCTATTGTTGCTGAGACCCCAGTGCAGGCAGATTATCTCCTCTGAACAATAAGTGCGGAGTGAGAGCAAACGCACAGCATCTGTCGGGGTAAAGGGCACTCGGGCAGAGGCAGCCGGTGTGGGGATGGGAGAGGTGGAGAATATAAAAAAAATTTACACATAAGAGGTTTTGTGGGTGGACTATACTGGGGAAATAGGATATGACAAATATTACATTGGCAATTATTTTTGTTTTGGTTAATCTTTTTACAGTAATAAATAAAAACAATCTTATAACACAGTTCCTCATCAAAAACAGACCTGCAGGTTTGTCAAACACGTCCAAAAGATTAGCAGAACTTGCTTGGAACTCGCAAAGATCTAGGGGAAACTCGCCTGTATTTGGGCATCGTCTGGTCCTCCCGGTTCTGCGCAGTGGATGATCTCCCATGATGCGTTGCGCCAAATACTCGTGTGTGGCTGTCATGCACAGAGGGGCTCGGCCGCGCTCTGACCAATCAGAGCTGCTCATCAGAGCAGGAGTTAGAGCCAGAGCCAGACGAGCAGAGTGGCAATAAAGTGTGGATTTAAAGAAAACCAAAGGATTTAAGAAGAAAAAAAGAGTTTAGTCTGGTTTTGTCTACAGTACCGCAAGAATCCCCTGAGCACATGGGGCCTTCAGCTCCAAGCTAGTAATACCCTATCCAGTTATTATAATAGATCCATGGTTTACCTACACAGTTTCACATTCAAAAACATGAAAAGCCGAAGTAAACATTCACACAATCACGGGGCCACAATGAGCTCGGCTGTTCTGTTAAGGTAGCATGTGTGTGTGGTTTCAGGTGATCTTCTACGACAGCGACTGGAACCCCACGGTGGACCAGCAGGCCATGGACCGCGCGCACAGACTGGGCCAGACCAAACAGGTGACCGTGTATCGGCTCATCTGCCAGGGCAGCATCGAGGAGCGCATCCTGCAACGCGCCAAGGAGAAGAGCGAGGTGCCCCTTCACTCACCACACTATAGCTCTGTCATTACTGCTGTATGTACCAGACCTGGGCAAAGGGCAGCCCGGGGGCCACATGCGACTCGATCCATGTTTCTATATGGCCCGCTGACCTTTTTCCCTTCCACAAACATCATTCTATCTCCCCCTATTTAAATGAAGGGGAATCACAATGAATGTTTGCAACTTGTCCACAATACTTTGCCTTCTTTAGCTTTAGTCCAGCTTTGGTTCAATCCAAGCAAAAATTTAAATCTAAAGACAAGTACAAAAAAAGAAACAAAAGAAAACAATCCAAATGTATACAATAATAATTTCCTCAAAGTACCTCCCATATAGTAAAAGGTTAAAACTAAAATATAGCTGCTGATGCAAAATATCAGCTAACACTTAAAACCAAAACTTTTTAACAGAATTAGCTTACACTCATTTTAAATGATAACCACATAAAGAACGAATCCGGCCTTCCACAATACACAGATTGCCCCCCAGAAAAATAATTATAGCCCAACCCTGGTATATACAGTGTTATTTTACAACCTTGTTCCAAAATGTATAAAATTCTTGCTCTTTATTGTAAATCTACTCTCATTAACCATGTTTTGTTTCCGCACAGATCCAAAGAGTGGTCATCTCCGGAGGGAACTTCAAACCCGACACGCTCAAGCCTAAAGAGGTGGTCAGCCTGCTGCTGGATGACGACGAGCTGGAGAAAAAGTGTAAGTAAATGTGTAACAACACATGGCTTTTTGAAAAGTCGTTTGATAACGTAGATTCTGTATTTGTAGTGCGACAGAGGCAGGACGAAAAGCGAATGCAGGAGGAAAGCAGCAAAGTGAAAGAACGCAAGAGGAAAAGAGAGAAATACGCCGAAAAGGTAAAACGCACTCGTGAAAAGAACTCAACATGCAGGATACATTTAAACAAACTGGTCGTTTTGGTCCAATGTCACTCATCAAAAACAGACGTTTACTTATTGTTATCTCTATCCACATCTGCTCCTGCCCCTTCTGCCTAAATACTGTTTGTAAACTCTGTATGCTATTCTCTAACCTATAGCTCAGGGGAGCCAGTAGCTCTCCACACCCTTCCAAGTAGCTCCATGAAGGATTTGTGTTAATTTTTGTATGTACTTGTCTCTCTGTAATACTCTCTGTCTCACTTTTCTGTCTGAAAACGGTGAACTAAAGATGTGGCAGAGAGGTCAAAAATACATGCATGTGAAAACTAGAGATGGAACTGTTATATGGATTTTTTATTTTATCACATCATTTCAGTTCTTGTGGTTTTAAAGCTTTAAGGGACAAAGTGAATACGCATATTGCATTGAATTTGTCTTTTTGTGCAGAAGAAGTTGGAGGAGACTGAGACAAAGAGGAAGAAGGAGGTAAACCTGGTGATCTCCCATGCTCCGTCTGCGGATAACTCCAACATGTCCGGAGACGGGGACGACTCCTTTCTCAGCGTGGACATGGACTCCGCTCTGCCCAGCCCCTTCAGCGAGGTGACCATTTCAAAAACAAACTTAATATTTAACAAGCAGACATGAAATTATAAGGTGACAATTAAATGTCTAGTTTTGTAACTTGTAGTCATTTTAGACCTGAATAAACTTTTTTCAACAATGGCAATCTTTCACTGGGGCAACAGTGGCTCAGTTGGTAGAGCACTGGCCTTTGAGCCTGAAGGTTTTGGGTTCAAGCCCACCACGAGACCTTCTCCACCGACTCCCACTGATGTCTGCCGCAAACACACCGCTGCTCAGGGGATGGCGCAATGCACCGTGAACGAGGCCTGGGCCTTACCGGGCCCAGGTCTGCTCTAGAATAATTAGATAGTGAGTCATTAGCTCTAAGGGTTCAAAGATTCACAGTAAATATTAAACCACTGTACAGGTTATCAGCACGTGAGACTTCTGTACATGTTTTGCAGCATGTAGTTCTGGGCTAAAAATGACCGTAAAATGACAGTGGACACATGTGGGTCTGGAGAGCCCGTGTGCCCGGACGGGACTTCACCGGCGGGGTATACTCTTGACAGCTGGAACAAGTTTCAGCCCCTCTGTCTGTCGACCCTGTCCATTGAAGATTCGGAAGACGTATATATCTTTGGCATTTTGGTGGTGGGAATCCTCCTGTTTGGGTTTGGAGCGATCCTCTTCTACCACAAATTCGGAGGCATGGCAGTTCGCAAGATTCACGACCTGCTGGCCGACAAAATTGATGGGATGTACAAGGAGCTAAGCCGTGTCGTGGTTGAGAGTGCCGTGTCTGGACAAAGAAGGGTGGTTTTGGTGGAACAGTTGATCAAAGATCTCGCAGCTCGTTCACTCGATGGGCATAAAACTCTGGAATTGAGATTGAATGACATTGTTTGTCAGGCTTGAACTCTCTGACCCGGCTTGGATTTGCCCCTGTGTACGGAGGTCTGAGGGCGCCGTAATTCGGTTTAATTGGAATTAATAGAATATCTGCCTGCTTTTGACTGCGACATTGCAGGCGATGTGTTTTTCTCCTCCTGTGTCTTCTCTCCACTCTTATCTCACATTCCTCGGCCAAGGCCATAAACAAGGTCCCACAATCTACAACAACTCACACTATTTCAGTCTCCAGCAAGGATCCCTCACCCCCGCCTCCCTCTACCTATCCATCTTGCTCCCTCCCTCCCCTCCATTCCTTATTGTTTTCCTACTCACCCCCTCCCTGATCCCGCCCCCCTCTGACAGCTACATTGGGCCGGCCGCCGGAGGTGCTCATCCCGAGAAAAAAATCCGTGGTTTATAAAAAGCACAATGTGTCTATCCAATTGTCTGTGAACTGTATGTTATTGCTCTCTGCTGTTTCTTGCTGCACACAGCGCCGCAAATGGCGAAGTGGCACGCTCTCTGCCAAGACAATTTCCAAGTGATAACTTTGTTACTCACGTGGCAATAAAAATGATTCTGATTCTGATTCTGGTTAGGCCAGGTCACAAGGCGGGTTGCATTTTCTCCTTAAGAATGAGTGTGAGAAGTGAAATGTAGTGTCCTATTGACCCTCAGCCTGACCCTGGCCTCTCTTCTGACAGATCTCTCTGAGCAGTGAGCTGCAGCCTGGATCTCTGCCTCCAGACGCCGATCAGGACGAGAGCAGCAGCGACATGTTGGTGATTGTGGACGAGCCACTGCCCACGCGAGCCACCAACTCCCCCTCGTCCGTGTGCGGCTCGGCCTCCGACTACAACGGTCAGCGCTTCTATTACCATTCGAAGTCATTCCACTGGTCATTCACATGCTCACATTTGTCTCAGTCTTTTTTATTCTCTCACACCTGAGACGATATCATTGTCCCCTGGCTCCTCTGACCACTGCCACATTTCTTTCACTTACTTTCTTTCACCTTCATCTCTTAGAAACCTTGAGAGGCAGAAGATACGTCAGCATTAATTAAGATGAAGAAATCCTTTTTTTGTCCCACAGTGGGGAAAAGTGATGTGTGCTCCTTATTCCTACTGTTTTCACTGACACAGGATACTGACATTATTGCACATTATTGCACAGATGAATGACATGCGAGGTCAGCCATATTTGCTCAAAGGGGAAACGCATCCATCAAAAAGAGTGGGGGCTCGCCAATATAAAGATAATAAATGATCTAATAATGAGATTGATCATCATAAAGCCGACAGGAGCATGTTACGTCTTCGTTGCGTCCCAGAAGCTGAACTAAAGCGTGGAAACCGTCCCAACCCTGCGCTCCACCCGTTCCTCTGCACTTGTGCTGCTTTGACACTTTCATAATTGAATGGAGGAAAACATGTGGCTCCGCTGCGAACGCTGCCAAAGCAAACGTAACCTGCGAGTGAAGGGGGGAAGCGGCTCTACTCAGGTCACTGGATTCTGTTGTGTCAGCGTGATCCTTTCATAGACTCAAAGCACTGTAAAAATAATACCATTAAGTTAAGTCTTTTTTTAATAGTTTTTATTGAATGTTTTTATGTTTGTTTTTATATTAACCAGGGCTGAAGATGTATCTAATGATCTTGCCCAAACTATTAAGCAACAGGAGGTTCCACAAAGTATTCTCTCGTGTTGTGTGATTATTTTTGCTAAACCCAACAAAAGTATCATTTTATGTTAACAGTTGTCTGGTACTTTGTTGTAGCCTTTCAGGAAAAAATCCAAAATGCAATATTCTGTTTGTGGTTGTAACCGTGACAAAATGTGCAGTCATGATAGCTGATCATGGCACTGTACATACTGTATCATACAAAGAATTAATATGTTTACATAAGTTGTAACGTGCTTCTGATAATGATAATCTATGACAGGCTCATCATAATCATATATTTGGTGCATTTAAAATATTGCGCGGCAGATAAGAAAATCTAATGGACAAAGAAAATGTGTCGGGGGAAGTATGGCGTCTTGGGTGTACGAGTGAGTGATTTAACTCTTTACAGTGGTAAAGTGGTAAAGTCCATTTAGCACGTCACATGTCCCATGTCACGTCCCCGTCCAGAACACCCTGTAAAGCTTCTGCTGGCGCAGGCCGTCTGTGTTCACTTTGGCAGACTCTTCCCTTGTGGCGTTTAGGAGGATTACTGAGCCGTCACGCGGCTAAAGTGCAGAGAAGAACTCCATATAAACTATCTACTATACATTTACTGTGAGGCTCCCAAATCCCAGTGGCTCAGACCCAGAGCTGATAAATCTGATCCAAACTAATGCTGCCGACCTCACGGGAGAGAACAGAAGCTCTAACTTCACACTCCAAAAATGTATTAAGAATTGCCAGACTAAAAAACATACATTTGATCTGTCTGCCTGCAGAAAGCATACGTACTTTTGTTAAATTAATGTTTGTGCTGTCTTTCAGGTGTGTCCGGCTCAGACTTCAGTCCCAGGGGAAGGTCAAAAGGCGGTCGTGGGCGTCTCAAAGGCACAGGGGGCGGGGCAAAAACTCGCGGCAGGAAGTCGACGGCGGGGAGTGCAGCGGCGATGGCCGGAGCAAAGGCCGGAGCCGCGGCTGCATCTGCCGCTGCGTACGCGGCCTACGGGTTCAACGTGTCTAAAGGTGACGATGTGAACACACTTTTATTCTGGCTTCAACCAGTGGGGGAGGGTCCCAGCTCAAAAGTGGCCAAAATGACGTGCGCTGACATGCTGCAATACCAACCCGGGCCGATGGGGGTGGACTCAGAACAGAAATTAGCCAATGTTAACGTATAGCATTGGCAGACCTCTCAAAAACGTCTTTACAGGATGGTCCAAAAGTTGGCTCTTGGCCCAAAGCTTCGTTCCACATGTGTGTCAATGCTGAGGGGGGTGGATTTTTTTGGACCACTCTAGTTTACTCGCTGTGAATGTTTGAAGTCGTTTAAATGAATGGAGCTCTCGTCGGCTGACGCATGCGCAGATGCGTTTTTTCACAATTTTCTTGTGGGCGGGACCACTCGCGGCCATTTTGGATAGCTCCAGTAGAGCAAATGTTTTGGCCCGTTAGTTAGAACGGCGGAGATAGGCGTGACTCTGTCCGTTAATATATACAGTCTATGGCTTCAACCCACACTGAGAGCCAGAGGGAATGAGAGCGCCCCCTTCAGGACCACTCTGGTCTTTAGCAGAGGGATTGAAATGATTATCAGGAAACAGCAGAAAGTGCAGTTGATCCATGAGTTTACATACTGTGTGCTTTCTTAAATGTAACTGTTTCTGTCAAATGTAATCATTTTGTTCCATTCCTGAGCTTTCCTGAACATTTAGTCCAAATCTGCCTCAGTATGTGCTCAAGAAGGAGAGGAAAGAAACATGTTGGTTCTGTCTGAGGGATGTTTCCACTTTGTGTCCAGCTTCATGAAACACGGACAGTTGTTGTGTTCATGTTTCTGTCTTTATTCCTATTCATCTCATTCAGTGACTGTTTCCTCAGATCTAAATCCTGTGTCCTCTGTAGGTGGCGCTGTTCCTGCTTCCAGCCCTCTGCAGCCAGCTCTGGGCCGCTCTGGTGCCTCTCCCGCCTTCAATTCCTCTCCTCAGGCCAAAGGGAGCAGCAACTCTACGCCGAGCCCCCACAAGAATCAGCTGCCCCCCCACTACCCACCGCCGCAGCAGCGTAAGACCAACAAAGCCCCCGCCGCCCCCAGCTCTCGATGACGCACGCTCACTCGCACTCGCACTCGGCCGAGTTCCACAGATGTCCAGTTTGTTTTCATTTTCTAGAATAAGAAAACACATCCTTGACTGTCCAGTTAAAAGAATCCCATTTCTTTTATTTGAAGAACAAATATTATGCATTATTTGTGCTGGTTTTGGCCCTTTAATATGAGTTTGAGAATGTTTGATTTGGCGCTTCATGTTTTAGGATTTGAAAAAAATAAAATAAAGTAATAAGAATACAAAGTAAAATACTACGTCTTATGTAGCAGTCAACGTGGGAATTCAGTTTTGTTTTGGTGCGGCGTAGTTGATTCTGATGTGACCCATGAAACAAAGTCAAAAGCAATACTTCTTCTTTAAAAAACAACTCCAGGCCTTTTTTTTAAGATGAAGCAATATTTGGAACGTGGTTAAAAACTGAATACAAAGTTGTTTAATACAACTCTGTTAAAAGTACAGAACATATGAATTGACTTTTTCCTCATCCACTATTTACCTTTTGAAATGTCCTGAACTTTTATTCTAGAATATGAACATGACCAATTTCCACTGTGAAAAAACTAAAAACCAGTGTTTGTCAACATTTATGAACAACAAAAGGAGCGGTTAAAGTTCATGTACATTTGTCATGTCTCTTGAAAATATTTTCCAAAGAAAAGTTTACAGTGAAAATACGGCACACTTAATAAAACCAAGATGCTTTTACACCGTTGAGCCGTGATCGAGCTCGGATTGACGTGGCTGTTACCGTTCAGTCACATTTGATTAGATTCTTGATCAAGTAAAGACGGTCTTGTCTTGACTCAGATGTTGTGAAGCTTCTAAAGTTAAATGATCAGTGATTTACTAAAAGGTGTTGAGCAGCGGCACATTTGCAGACGGAAATTGACAATATTCCAGAATAAAAAATTGTATAGAAATGTTATACACAAAAAATGAAATTATTATAAAGCAGTCAGATGTGGGACAATTATTTAAATCTAAAGTTACTCCTGAGTCTAAATTATTAAATATAATATTGAAAAAAATGTTTAAATGTAAAAACATCTAAACTAGTCAAAGTTACTAAAATGTGTGCACAAATCACTAATGTTGATTATTAGGTAAACAAACATAAACTAGTCAGACAGATAATATTGGCTTTGCTTAAGGAACTGTGTCATTAATAATTGGCTGTTACATTATTAAGTAGGTCGTATGTTCTTTATTTATTATGAGTTTAACTATGTTGTGTAGTACAAATGTTTTAAGACATAGAGCACTACTTAAATCAATAACAGAATAATCTAGGGAACATCTGTGGGAACCCAGGTCGCTGTATAGAAACTGTTGTGATGTAGCATTTCTTTCCCTTTGGTGCCTAAACAGACTTTTCAAACTATTCATTATGAGTCGAGAATACTTCATTAGGCTGTGAATAGTTTTGTTATCGCTGATTGGAATCTGATCTTAACATTGTCAGGATTTTAAGTTCCGTTAGATAGTTTAAGGCTTTGGGCGATACAAGAATACATCAAAATTCAGAAACATTTAAAACAGCATTTTTACCCTTTAACAAGCTTTAATCCTTATAAACTTATAAACATGAATAAATTGATCAAATGTACAATATTTACAAACTATACATAATACAAGCATACATTTACATACATTCTTAAATATTAACACCAATTCAGCAGTTTCTATGATGGCATTTTCAGATTACAGTTAATAACCTGAAGAAACTGAACACTGCTTAATGAAATGTAAAGCTCCGAATGAAGGTTCTATTCCCCAACTTCAAATATGTTGACTTTTTTGAATTCTAATTTCTGGTTGAGAAGTTTTTTGGATATTGTCACCTTCTGAAATAATTGTCTTTTTCCCCCTAAATGTACTTTTTTTCCTAAATACTGACCACCTTTATAAAAGACCTCTCTTACCCATTTCAATCAGAATTCCCTCCTGTTGGATAAATAAATGTTCTTTTAACTTATGCCAAGAGTGTTTCCTAAAAAAAACTTGAAAAAAAGACTTTAGTGATAAATTTAAGGTGTTTAAATTATCTTGGAAAATCATAATTATTTCTGAGTGTTGCTTCCATTCTTGATTTGTTTTAACTTTTAAATAGGGCCTCTGCCACCGTACCTTAATTGAACAATCTTTGTCTACTAAAGCGCTTATTTATGTGTAATAGCTTGATCTAAAGAAACATTTCAATAGGATTTTTTTTTTCCTCAAATGGACAATGTACCAATTTTAACAACAAAAAGCCTGACTGGCATTGCTGCTAAAATGTATGTAATGATATAAATGGGTTAATTTATGTGTTGAACTGTGAAACTGTACTAAAGCCATGTTTTTCAGTTTTGTGGTGAACTTAATATTATGGGTGTTGTAGATTTTGAGAACAGACTTAAGCACTAGTTTTGTTGTGATTAATTCCTGTACATTCGTTGCGTGGTTCGCCCCATATTCAACCATCTATTTTTATAATTGCTGTGTACATAAGGACAAATGTTTTACCAACACAAGGGGCCGTGGACAATAAAAGATTTGAAAAAGTATGTGTGATGTCATACCTGAAGACATTGATTCAGATTGCAGTAAAAAAAAAACACATTGGAATACATTAGCAAAAAGTCTCCAGTGTGCACAAAGACATAACATTAAAAGACAGAAATAAAATAATTGACACTGTGAAATCGATCGGCTAAAACAGATTCAGTACAAGTGCAAATCATTGAAGTACTGTTCAAACTGATCACAGCTTGTGGAAAAAAAGCTGTTAGCATAACTAGATGTCCTGCATCAGAACAATATCTTCTGCCAGAGGGAAGAATCTGCCTTAAATCTCGTCTGAAGATTTAAGGACACAGGATTGGGTCCCAGTAGTTGAGACCCAAACGTCAAATGACACATTGTACCTTGAGTCATCGCTCAAACCAGTGTGAATAGTTCAGCATCTGATCTAGAGAAGTCCATATTTAGATTGCGCTGTACAAAGGTTAAATTTGTTTCGCCATATGAAAATCTTTAATGACATTAAAGCGAAAGCTGCTTTTTCCACTCACCATTGTATCAAAACAATATTCAAACTAAGAAAGCACTTTCATGTATCAAAAAATATACCAGTCAGTCAAAGTAGTTTATTTTTTATTTTTTGCAGTGGACATGTTTTTGAAGTTTATGATGCAACCTTTTGAAAACAAAACGCAAATGCCACAGTAACAATTTCCATGGACGGAATTAACCAAACCACCCCCTCATCCACCCGACAACTCAATATCACACCATGCATTCTGTAGGAAAACTTGCCAAGTTGCATGGCATAAGTTACACAGAATAAAAGACTTTTACAGATGAAATAGCGATTTTTAAGCCTCTGTCCCAATCCCTCCTTGCCAACACCTGGAGCTACTGCGCAGCTAACAGGAGCGCCATGACCTCAAGTGCGGCGGCTTCGATGTCGAACAGGTGGCCATCGTGAACGTGGGGGCAGCTCTCCCTCATGAACTCTGCGAGCCGCAGGAGATACTCCAGGTTGTGGCCGCTTTTCCCTCGGGACACTGCAATCTGCACACCGATCTCCTCCGCGCTCGCTGGGCCCAGGTACAGCGCATTGTCGGCTGTGGCGATGTAAACGAGGGCAGGCACCGGTGAGGCCTCTTCGCCATTAGGGTAGAAGTCCACCATCTTTGTTATGTATCCGCCACAGACTGTCTCACGCACGTTCAGGTAGGAGAGAGACTCTTCAGCCTGAGCGCCGCTGACTTCAAACGCCACGCCCCAAGTGTTTGCCTGGAGGAAACATTTTGGGATTAATTTTTTCACTCGAAACCAAGCGAACAAAGAACAGACAAGTTTCTTGTACCCAGGAATGTCCTAATAAGTACTAGTTTTAGCAAAATGAATCCACTTAATGCACATTTGAGCTTCTTAAATGCTGTACAATGAAAATATTGAGTTTCTATATCAAATGGTTTATCATCCAACTCACATTAATAATTAGTTATAGGATTATTACACAGTATTACAAGGCTGTGAGCACAAAACTGCTTAGTGCTCCAACAGAAGAAATCAAGCATTTAATTTAATGTTTATTGGGCACCACCATGGATCTAATACGGGGACCAAATAATTTGACATTTGGAAAGAACAAAATGGGGAGTGTCACTTACGTCATCCTCTTCAATCAGCGTCACGACTCTTCCGGGCTGCAACAGGAGAAAAGTGGGTCAGGCATTTTAGCACAATGTGTTAAAAAAACAAATACGACACAATCACGTAATAATTACAATCAAATCCTCACCAACTCATCATTCCCGCGGTGGAAGTTATCTCCGTGCCAGAAGCGCCTCTTGTAGCCCTGGATGTGGCCCACTTTGCTCCTTTTAAACTTAAAATCAGGCTTCCAGACGAGAGAACCGTAGCCGAAGATCCACAGGCTGCTCTTCCCAGCGAGTACGTCTTGAGGCTTCATTTCTCACTGATTTTAATGCTTAGACGATGGATCAAAAACTGATGCTAACTGGGATGCTAACAGTGACTAGCTTAGGCCGATTTTCCTCTTCCGCCTTCGCTCCAGTCGTGCTGGAAAGGACCGGCTGTCGTGGGGGACAGTAGGCCGGGGATCAAGGGCCCAGAGCCGACTAGAAGCAGCGGCTGCAGGGGTGGAGGTGAGCGGGTGCTGGTTTCGCCGTGCAGGATGCATTGCCTTTGCCTTACAAGCGCCACATTATGCAGAGAAAGCCATTATGGCAGCCGGTTAGGCCCGAATTTACACGAAAAAAACGAAAAATAACGAGTCTAGGCCAGCGGTGGGGCCGGCCAGTGTAGGCGTGAAGCTCGACAAATCAACTTAACTGAAAAAATACTAAGAAGACCACGTTTTAACGTCTATTTGTTGCTTAGCCTCAATGGCTTGTATCGGACGTCTCAAGGTAAAATGGCTGTCGAAGGCGCAGCAGCTGTATTTATCACGTTCTAAAGATAAGAAGGCGGGGCCAAGTTTGAGCTTCAGCCAATAGTGTTTGAGAATGAACACTCCACCTTTAAGCCAAGCCAATTATAGCGAATCAGGAAGTGGTAAAGCTCGGAATGAAAGAAACGTTATTGGTTTGCACAGCTGTCAGTCACGACTACGGCTGATGCAACTCCTACCCTGGTTTCAGAGCGGAGGCTCGGGAGAAGTTGCATCAGACAGGAGCCATCTCCAAACATGGGAATATAAGATGAATTATATAATCTATCTCAAAATAAACATTCTGCAAGTCTATATACAGTTCAAGGAAGTAACTACATTTCCGAAAATATACGCGCAGATTTCTCGAACAGACCAGGGGTTCCCAAACTTTTCAGATAAGTCCCCCAAAATAACCACAAACCCACCTCGCAACTGTCAAAACAAAAAAATATTGAAAGTAGCAAAACATTTAATTAATTCAATGTGTTGAGATAATTAAATATGTGCAATAATGGCAATGTGACAACAATTCACTTCCAAAGTTAAACATCATATTTTATGCATTAATAACAAATGGGAGTGAAAGAAAATCTGAGCAGGATATCCATTGACAACAACAGTACAATCAATTTTATTTTGTTGGTGACAGTCACCAAACTGCCGACTCCCCAACGGCAGACTGGAGACTTAATGAATCAGGCCAATGAGGGACAATGGGTGAAATGCACAAACCTCAAGTAAAAAGTTACAATGGCAGTGATGAGGATGGATGTGGGACGGGTAAATAACCATTTGAAACAGTTACGTTTACGTGTCTGCATCAAGCAGACATTATGGACACTATTGTCCCTCGAATGACTTGTGTGTAGTTAATGGGCTTCTTCACCTGACAACTACTGGTTGAGGTGGCTTGTGATTAGTCAGTTTTTTGAGCACATAGATTAACCATGGATTAACCATGGATTTTTAAAGCCCGAAATGGGGAGTGTGACTCAAACGTTTACTGAGCTGGACGAGCTAGAGTGAGTTGGAGTAAATGTCTGTCCATAAGCACTTCTCAGTTGAGTTTTATGGAGCTCGAGGGTCAGCAATGTTCATCTATATACAGTCAATGCTACAAGCCTAATATTCACCGTCTCGGTGACGTGCCATTTATCTACTGTTGGGACACCCCTCCTCCAGAGACCCCCAGAAGAGAAGAGGCAGTGGTCTGAGCCACGTGTCCCGCCCACTCAGGAAGTACCGTCAGCTGATATACAGTATGAGACGGCACTCAGCCAACTGCAGTTCTGAAAATGGCTTACAGCTCTACAGCCAAAACAGGTTAACAAGGTCTCAACCAGTCGTTGTCTTTCAGTAAGAACCCAAGCAGTAAAAAGCCAAAAGCAGACAAAAATAACATTCTTATACTTGCTCCCTGACCCACATGTAAGCGACGGGATATAATACAACTTTTTTAAAGAACATTTACAAAAACATTGAGAAATCCAGCTTCATCCATCCATCCATTCATTTTCTTCCCCTTCATCCGTTGCCGGGTCAGCTCCTTGTTGATTCCTGGGAATTACTATTCTTTAAATGTCTCAATCTAAAATTTCTCTTGTTGGAAAAGCTGTTTAAGCTGTTTGAACCCCCCCAGCCCAATGTATTTAGGGATGACATCAATAAGCATTATCTTTAATTGTTAGGTTAGTGTGGTCAGAAGAAGTTCTGGACAATAACGTCTGCACTTGAAAGTTTCAGAGACTCTTTGAATACAGTGGGTTTGTTTCTACGGCTTTAATGATTGCAAGATTAGATTTTTGTTGTGCAGGCAAGTGAAGAAAATGACTAAATATGCAGAAGTCTGGGATTGTGGCGCAGCAGGAGACATCAGAGAAAACCATTAAGTGGAAAATCACTGACTTCTGCAGGCTGTTGTAATAAAAAGCTTAGTTTTAACAATATCCATCCATCTATTTTCTTCCCCTTAATCCATTTCTGGGTATACAGGGTGTGGTAGTCAGAGCTGCACCCAATTCACAGAGCACCAGCCCCTCACTGATCCTCCTGCAGGTGTTGAGTCCATAGGAGGATGACTGCTCTTTTGGTGACAGCATGGCCTTGATCTTTCAGTGGGGGCTTCAGGCAAAGTGGGGTTAAGTGTCTTGCCCAAGGACACAACGACTGCAGACATCAGTGGGAGTCAGTTGAAGTAGGTCTTGTGGGGGATCAAAACCACAGGCTCAAAGGCCAATGCTCTACCAACTGAGCCACTGTCGCCCCTTAAGTTTTGATAACAGTTGCTTCAAAACGGGCAAGATCACTCAAAGCAATATCCCACTTTCTCTGAGGATTCTTGATTTCATAGTATATTGTATATATATTATATAATTTAACAGAAAGAGAACGTTGCTCAAGATCATGTTTAAAGGCCAAAACTAAAATTAAACAAATAAATAACGTTGCTAAATATTGTTTTCTATAAAGCTACAATACAATAGGAGTAGAAATTCTCACTTCGCACTGTGGGACCATCAAACCACAGATAAAGTTAGCAATCATCAATTTTTTTTTTCCATCGAGCAAATGACAAGATGATTTGGCTCTCGGTGCAGTACAGTGTTCATGGTTTTGCCCTGGTCCAGACCGGAGCGGAGAGGATTCATGGTCCGAACCAAGCTGATCAGACGAAAATCCACTGGAGGGATGCTAACGTTTTGAAAAATGCCAATGAAGCATTCTGCATTTTTCTTTGCACCAGAGAAGAGAAAATGGTCCGAACCAAGCGGCTGCTCCACCTCTGCTGCTGTTGCATTTTATTATTACTATTTTAAGCTTTTTAGAATGATCAATTTATTTGTTTTGTTTGTGTGGATGAATGTGTTTTTGCTCCTACTGGACACGTGAATTTGTCCTACAGGGGGTCAATAAAGTATTTATCTATCTTTGCAATAGAGCCAAATCTTCTGCAAACAACAACAACAAGAATGGATTATCAGGACTCAAACCTGCAGCAGCCGCTATGCCAACACCCGTGAGTGTGTGTACACAGCTGTAGCACGGACAGACGCTGAGAAGGGTCCGTTTTCATGTTGCGTCCCCTTGAACATGTCTTCACGCATGTTTTTAGCAGCTGAGTGGTCGTGTCACCTCCGTAGCCTCGCTGACTGGGATGCCTTCACCGTCCCGCTCCATCTAAGGACAAAGCAGCATGGAGGTATTTTTAAAGTCGGCCTGACCCGGGACAGCTGCCCATTGTCCGGGCTCGGGGCACCTGGACATTTGGACGCTCACTTTACACATTAGACGGATCAGCTTCAGTCAACGCAAGGACTGACCCAAAACAAATATAGGACCAAGTGCACTGTTTGCTTATGTAACACTGCACTGGAAAAACAAGGTCTGTCAGAGTTCAAATGACAGGAATTAACGTTATCTAAGAAGTTTTGAATTTTTTTTGAACGGGATTTCATCTGCCCAACCAAATAAAACCAATAAAATCCTCATTCGCCTCTTCATTACGCACTGAGCTGTAGCCTGGTATGTCAAAACAACTCTCCATTTAACCCGCCTTGCGAACTTTTGCCAAGGCGTGTTCAGTTGTAAGTAAGTAAGTAATCTTTATTTATATTGCGCATTTTCACAGACCAAGGTCACCCAAAGCGCTTTACAATGTTCAGAGTTCAGATATTCAGACACACGGCGAAAACGGAAGCGAGACCCGGATCACACTGGTGCATCAAAGCCCCCAATCAACACCATCTATTCACTCACTCGTTCCCTCACTCACTCGAAACCGGAGCACCCAGAGGAAACCTACACAGACACAGCGAGAATAGGTGCACGCCACTTCCTTTTTGCTGAGAAGCAAGAGTGCTATTGACGTTTTACTCAGTGTGAAGACTCAAGAAACAAATTTAGCAGTTGTTTAGAAAATAATACAACCCATTTTTTTATGAATTCCAGGATTCTATAAGACATGTAAATGTGGGTCCGGTGAAGATGGTTATAGAAATACACACAAGACACAACAGCGTCCGTTAGGGGGGTGACCACAGTAACTTTTTTTTTTTCTCGTCTTTTGTTGATGAATTTTCTGTCAGACTGGCTCCCATAGGAAAAATGTAAATCGATATTTGTTGTGTTTGTTGTACGTATATGTATAGAAAAAAGACCAACAATATACTGTCGTCCTTGAAACTGAATTTTTGGCAAGGTTTGGCAAGTTTTTGAATATGTTCAGGGGGTCAAATTCAAGTTCCTAGACCATGAATTATTAAAAAGCCCTCCAGCAAATAAACCCAACCATAATTGCAGTGGTTATCGGAGTTGTAGTACGAAGGGTAGCAGTAGCAGTAGTAGTAGTAGTATTAGTAGAAGGTGTGAAGCTCAAAGTTAGTTGTGTATAAATAGCAGCAGTTTTATCTGAGTTGATAAGAGGCTGTGTCCCTCCTCTCTCTGCAAACACTTCTTTATGTGGTCATCCGTCATGTTCAAAAAAACAGTCCAGACCATGTGCGACTCTCTGTAGAAAG